TACTATTATTATTATTGTTGTTATTATCATTATCATTATTACCATTATTATCAATATTATCATTATTATTTTAATTATTAATATTGTTATTATTATTATTATTGTAATATTTATTATGACTATTATTTTTTTTTTTATTCTAATTATATTATTATTGTTATTACCATTATTACATTATTATTATCATTAGCATCAGCATCAATATTAATATTATTATGATAATCATTATTTGTATTATTATTATCGTTATCATTATTACTACTACCATTAAAATATCATTACTATTAGAATCATCACCATCATTATTTTTCATTATCATCATCATCAGCACTGCTATCATACTTTTCATTTAAAATCATTGTAGTAGACATTATCATTACTCTTTGATTAATGTATTTCACAATTACTTATTCATTACATCATTATCAATATTGTGACAATTATTCATTACCGTCATTGTTGTTACCGCAATTTAGATTAAACACCAATAGTTCAGAAAATTAATAAAGGTATCTTTACATCCCACATCCAATTTTCTGTTCATAGTACGCTTTTGCATCATTACGTGACCTGAAATGGTTAATCACGAACAATATTTACACTGTTCAGATATGATTATTACTTTTAGTCAAACGATAGCGATAAAAACGACGAGAAAACATGTCTTTCCATTACACTAGTATATAATAAAAATACGTTTTCTATGACATAGGATTAGAGAAAGAAAATGTATGTGGTATGTAATTCAGCAGTGACTATGTTTAGAGTGGGAAATTATTAGCAATAATGGTAATAAGAATAAGAATAACCATAAAAAAGAAAAAATGGCATTATAAGAAAAATAGCATAATACCACCAACAGAGATAATAGTCATGATAATTACTCTAAATCTCAAATTCAAAGATCGTTTTTACATACATAAATTCGTTCTAAGCAATAACATATCTACCAAAAACTCATCAAACATATTTCTTTCTGATACATATTCACGAAGTTCTTCCTACTTCAAGTCATAGGCATATTACCCTATTTCTAACTTCCTAAGCTTATCAAAACTTCTTACGGTTTGACCCATAAAGAAATTCCTTTGCTGCACTCTTGCTTGCGACATCCCAAATTATCCTTTCGTCTGTGTGCTTTACAGGCATCACATAACTTAATGTTCATCATCTTATTGTGCTAGGCAATGTCAGTAGGTATACAGAGGGTACAGTTTCCTGTTCCACATCAAATATCGATTAATGTGCTAGTGTTTAGAACATTAACAGCGTTGGTGTTTATACATTCCTTTACATAACTTAGGTAGATGACCATGTCGAGAGAGAGGTCATAGGACATTTACACACCGGGATACTGAGCCGGAAATTTTGATTCCCATCATCCAGCATCACTCCTGCACATTATTACCAAATCGTCTGTGGTCATAATCTACAATGACCTACCTTGGAAGCTACCAAACCACTAGTCCGTCATGGAAATATCTCCATTACCCTAAAATCATTAGTAACTATTCACATACTGGATTCCATACAGCCCTGGGATCTTTACTGTATTCACAATAGGTATTATTGGGTGGCAGGTTCTTATCATTTAATAGGGTCCTGCCCCTGCTGATATAAAATGCGGCTCTTCATATTTTGTAGGCAGGGGCAGTAGTAGAGGAGTTGATGAAAAATCTTAATGTGAATGAAGCAGCAGTAGAATCACTGGCATAGTAATGGAATTATTTGTGGAAGGTTCATTACTGACTTCCACTTGAAAGCCTCAATCACAGCTTATTGATTATACCCAAATGAAATAAAGTCAGGAATGAATACTTCAGATATTTTAGTTGAGTATTCTAGTCGTTTGATAGAAAAATATTACCAATGCATGAAGCCTTGATAAAAAATAAACATAGTATATGAGATTACTGACCTTTGTGAATTTAGTCTTGGAAATCCACCAAGAACTATGGTATTAATGCATAAGGAATTAATTCACTTAAAATAAAATGTAAGAATCCCAAACGATGATGAGACTATGACGTTATGAGAAATCGAGAGTTCAACACTGGATAGTAGACAAGAAAAGTATCACTAGTCTGTCTAACAAGGATGTAGAAAAACTCAATTTCCATTTTGCCAAAACTTGCCAACAGTTACCACCATTTGACCCTTCTCTTCTGACTGTTTTCCTTTTATCAAAAACTCATCAAGTCCTGATAAAAAATATGCTTATCTCATGAGAAGAGTTTGGAAATGTACATTCAGAATCATCCTTGGTCTCTCCTAATAAAACTGAAATAATTAGGCTCTTTGTACTCTACATCCAGTCAACCCTCTCTAACGACTGTCAAGCAATGGAAAAATCAGGCTACAAACTACTTCTGGAATACCCAACTTGTTATGCAATATTAAAGAAACATTCCCACACTAATCAATTGCAGTAGAGAGGAAATTGCATCATGTAATATTACAGATCTGTTTCATTTGCTTCATTCCAAGAATAAACATATCAATTAGTTTGTTTCTTTGCTTTCCATGTTATATAGTTTATATTTGGTATACAAAAGGTCTATATTAGTATTCACTACTTACTAAATGCTTTTAGAGACTTGCAAATGTTCATGAAGAGGTATACAAGGGCAAAAATCTCTGGGACAGTTTGAAAATCATTTAACTAGGGTTGTCCCAATGGACAAGCTCTAATCTTATTTTGTCTGAAATATATTTCTAAGTATGTCAGTAATGATTTTTTTAGTTTATGTTATAATAAGAAAACATAATACGTCTATTGTATGCTAGATACATTCCTTCCTATTCAAATTAAGACCAAGTTTATCCTCCTATAAGAAAAGGTAAGTATGCTACATGAGTATATATAAAAACTACAAGCACTCAGAGAGCGCAGTAAAAATATTCATACAAGAATAATTACATCAAAATCATCTCTTTCTCAAGTACACTGGTGACGTCCATGTTTTCCTATCTCGCACAGCTAATGAATCCTTAAAAAATTTCCTGGATCCGGATCATGATCCAGATCACCACTAAAATTTAATGACTTTAAGTTGGGCGAAGACATAACTCTGGTAAAAATCTGTTCAAAAATTTATCTTGCTAGCCATCCTGGTTCAGGATCAGGATCTGGATCACCACCAAAATTTAATGGCATCTAAGTTGGGCTAAGATACACATCTGGTTAAAATTTCATAAAAATCTATTCAAAACTTTTGAGTTACCTGTAAAATTGTCATAAAAAAATTCTTAACTTTTTGAGTCATACAGCTAACTAACTAACCAACAAACTAACTAACCAATGCTAACAAAAATATAACTTCCTTGGTGGAGGTATTAAGTCACTGACCCACAGAAAACTCTCAATTCACTCTCCTTTTTCACAAGTTACAAATTAGCAAATTAATAAAACTACAAATATATGGAGAAATACTAATGCTCCTTTCGAAAAAATCTGATTTTGTATTTAGTATTTTCTCAGACAAACTGTATAAAATGACCGTAAAAGTTTTGCTATATGGCCAACTTTAACCAATTGTTTTTGTATGTATGCATTATAGCTAATAAAACCGTAAAATGTAATCCTTCCCTTTCAAAAAGAGGCTAATTTTAGCTTTCTGTGATAAATATGAAGTCAGAAATAGTTGCAGAAATGAGTTTCTGTGCCCTACTGATTTCTCCCTGTCTATTCTTACATGTAGTGTTTGTTATGATTAGGTGGTTGAACATAATAAATACATCTAAAATCAATAAGCTACACCAACCCATCCCTCTAACCATAGTCAAATACCATTTATTTGGCTTATCTAAGGGGGTATAGGAACTCATTTCTGCACTAGTATAATCACATGCTGTATATAATAGGAACCATTTATCACAAATAGACGTTCCAGTTACGAACTTTTACCAAGTCATATTATACCTCAAATAATCTATTCTTAACAAGTTTATTCTCCTGAAGGTATGTTATAACTATCTTATTAATATTAGTTAACTCACTATGTTCGTTATTTCCTTGTATGCATATTTTTTTTCTAATATCAGCAAACATGCAACCCTTCCCCTTTAAACTGAGGAAAAATTCTGGTTTCTACAGAAATAATGACCTTAACTTTATTGCTGGCCATCATCAATATACAATTTTTGCTTTCTATGTGTATTCTTTATCTAATTATTCTTGTTATGAAAAAGTGCAGTCCATCCCCTTCAAAAGCTCAAATTCAGATTTGACAGATAATAACTTTGTTCTAAGAGTTCGAGAAGGTTTGATTTTGCTAGAGTTGATTTAACATGCAAAGAAATACACAGATCATTTCTGGATCACTCACTGCAGGTAAAAACTAGATTTTCACTTGTAATGGAATTAAAAAGTCAGGCATAAAAAACAACAATTAATATCAAGATAAAAATAGACATGTAAGTTCAAAGAATTTCTAACCTGATTAACATAACTGATATAATGTTATCAAAATACTAATATTAATCTTAAAAAATATATAATAATAATCTTTCACAAAATCTGAGATAGGTAGGACTTGATATTGACTTCTTGATAAGTAAGTACTTGTGGAGCCATCATTTGTATAAGCACAATCAATGAATTAAAATCACATTGGACATCGCATGTCTGTCTTGCAATCCTTACAATGTGGGTTAAATGACTATTTTTCTGCCTACAAAGTTACCAGTGTTATACCCAACATCACTGATATGTTGTTAAATTTACTGCACCCCTTTTTATTGCTGTTCATCTCTTTCAAGTGTATTGTATTGCTTTTTTCTGCACATGGTTTATATGTCCTGCTATTTTTGTTTTTAAATAACTCAAAAAGGTATGTTTATAACTCATCAAAAAGGTATGTTTATAACTCAAAGGTATATGGTGTTAAACTCTACTACTTTCCATAAAGTTTAAGATCACAGACATCTTCCAAATTTGAACAGGACTCTTACCCTACAGTCAAAGAACCATGCATTAAATAAGAATTAAATAAGAAATAATTTTTGCTTAACATATTTTTGTATTTACCAAAATACAGTTCTAAGTCAAATCAAGAAATACATTAAAATAAATGTATTAAAAAATAATAATAATAATAATAACCAAATTAACTATCGTCTTCTTCTTCATCATCTCATCTTCATCGCCTTCTCTCCTCCTCATCGTCATCATCATCATTATCGTTATCCTCTTCATCCTCATCCATATCATCACGGTCTGCTAACTTCCTTTTTGTTCCAGCCTTAGTTGGAGTTGTTACCGATGGCAAAAGTTTTTCGAAGCAACCGTCTTCTTTACTCCAGTGGTATTCCATTTGAAGGTAGAACAGTGACATATCTTTTCCTAAAAGTCTCTGCAAATTAGACAGAAAATAGTATATCAATCTTAAGCTCTTTGATAAAAAAAACAACTAATTTTAGCTTGGTGAATCATGCTTACCACCTTGGATGGGTCTTTTATGTCGTGCATAACATGAGCAATTCAGCTTTACTTCTTCAAATACTATGTAACCATATTATCATCTTAACTACATCTTAAGCGGGTTTTGAATTGTAGTTTTTATTTATCTGATTGTTGTTTTAAGTGCATAAAAAAGTGCAACTTATTTATGCTTTAACTTGCATACAAATCCTAACAAAAAAAAAGTTTTATTGAAAATAATAATAATAATTTTTTCTTAAATTGATTAAAAAAGAAAAAGAAAAGGTATAAAAAGTTTAGAATATTTTCATGTAAACAAATTATGACATTTCTTTGATAGTGAAAAAACTGGTGTCTTTTTTCTGTTTTATATGGTGTTTATGACCATAAATTTGTATAATTGTACAAATAATAAAAGGTTTATCCACTTATTTTTAAGATTTTTTTTTTTTCCCCAAAAAAATAAGTTCTTTTGTTTCTTGCTTATTTTATCATATATTCCCTAATTGTTCAATAATGAACTGCCAATACATATATACAGTGATAATACACATATGTATGGGTGCAGATGATACTGGGGAGGGTAATGTACTAGGTCACTGTGAGCAACAACATTACTATCACACATTCCTGTCTCACACTATCTACCCTTCCCTACTAAGAATAACAGCTTCCCTTACTAAATCTCTTTTCTCTCCTACATACACTGCTCTCACAGGAAATGCCTCAAAACAACAAAACAAATGCAGCTTTACAATACTGAATGCCAAAGAAAAATAAACATTCCATTAAACTTGTGAAAGTGGAAAAAATAAATATATAATAGAAGTAGTACTGTGCTACGTAAGGGGAGACACTGGATGAGGGGAAGGTAATCCATAAGATGTATTTATATTATTTCCCTCAAAGTAAAATAAAATCTTACAATACCTATTCCATAACTAGGCGTAAGCAAGAAAATATTTTCACATTTCCATATATTTTTTTCAAATTTCTCTCACAAACCTAAACATCAGTCTTTGGCTGCAAGGGACTTGGGCTAAATTGAGTACCACCAGAAGGACTAAACTAAATAGAAACCCCCAAAATCCACAAAATATCATATACTTCTTGATGACGTTTATCATTGACTTCATACTTTTTAAAAATTGAATTGATCTTGTTTTTACATACCCCTGAATTTACTTTTTTAGCCCATTGCTTGAATATTTGTGATAATGTTTTTATCTTAGCCCACTTGTGCTGGGTGTGTCACATATATGACCCCCCCCCCAATAGCCGGCTGTCCCACAGGTGTGATGCTAGATTGGAGTTTGCACTCTGTTTTTGTCACCCATAGCAATTTTTATACCGCCCAGAAATGGGGATTATCGCCTTCCAAATGGACCATCGCTAGTGCGTTAACTACTATTACTATTACTATTACTATCAACTCCCAACATCCTATTTGCCATAATCATGGGTAGCTGTAAAAAATGTCCTCTGTCCTATTCACCACATCGTAGGAGGTCAGCCAAAAATGGTGGGATATTGGTTGTGCCTTCTTTTCATTATGAAAGAGATTATGTAGTGTCGACTATGTATTTGGTCTTGTTTGGCATGCTCCTTTCCATCACACCCACATCATCATTCCCCATAATCCTCTCTATCCTCATAGGCTTGAGTCAGTCATAGGGTTGTGTTTTATACCTATCTTTTTGTACTGGGAAAAGTTGTATTTTCCACCTCTATCTTGTCAAATGAAATATAGTGTTTGAAATAGTAATTCTGGCAATGTAGGCCATATTTCCTTCGACCTAATACTAGATATTTTCCTTCTCCCATATTCCCTGTCCACACACCATGTGTCACAAAGTTACCTTCTGGTATAATGCTGTTTTTAGTATTCATACATCTATAGAGTTGTAAATACATCTAAATGCACATTCTATAGCTTTGTATAAAAAAGTATTTCATATGCATCTTATTTACATATTCATGGGCAATCTATCCCCATTTCCATTCAAACACAAGATTTACTTCTTCAATTCCAGTCTTCTAACATTGTGTATTTATTTCAAAACTGCCGGGGGCAGCATGCAAACTATGAGTTTACTTTATTAAATGTCTTTACACGTAGATGGTTCCACAAGGAGTAAGTCACTAATGAGCAAATTACAAATACTACGTATCTCACCTGTTTACCCTTTTCTTTGATTTTTGGAAATGTTTTCTGGTATCTTAAATTGCTGTTAGTATTGCCAATAACATAATAATCATAATGTTAATGTCTATAATAAATATAGCAGTATAGATATTTATAGCATTAGCAAAAAAAATAAAAATTAATGCAAACTTAAGGAAAGGTGAAATCAGGTGAGCTCACAAGGTCTACTAATTGACTCCTTTGTGGCTAAATGCTTGTGAAGCCATCTATCTGCAGGGACATTTCA